CAATTTTTTCTAACTCTAGTGACTTTCCGGACACCCTATATAACCAACTGTATTAACTCAAAAATCATATTCATTTTTTAAAATTCTTCACAACTATTATCATTCATGTACAAGTGTACCTAATAGCTATTGGATCATCATAATATCCTTCAGTTTTGATTGCAGTATGTGTTCATGCATGGTTGCTACATATGTTTCGTTTTTTGCTCATTCTAGAGTTCATTAGAAAAATTTTGTATGTTCTCGTGTGCGACAATAAAATGCATGTACACTCAGCATTTTACGAGCAGTTACACGCAGTTTTTTAAGCTTTTGTGTTTGACTGGGTAGTGGATAAGTCAATGTTTATTGTTGGTGGTAGATATGACTTTTGAAAGAAGTAATTGTTAATCATAAAATACTTTTGAGAACATAAACAAATGTTATCTTTTGATATAATAAAGCATACGTGTCCTCATGGTATTCTTTCACATATTCTTGTTTTAGAAAAAAAATGATTTTGATTTTGAAAATAATTGTCTTTTGTTTTTCATTGAGTTTCTTATTTTCTCCAGTTAAAACAGATAGATGCGGTACTTACAATCATCCAAAATATGGTATGGGTCAATGTATTGATCAGAATCAGTGTCTAAATTCACTGTATATGTCTGACTTGTGTGAATCGTATCCATTCAATATCAAATGTTGTAGTTCGTAGATATCATTCGAAAGAATTGCCTTTAACTTCGATACAAAAATGCAAGCGTTTCTTGAGGGTGTAAGATATGGGTGTTGATGAATGTGGGCGCGGTTGAGTGTGTGGATGTGGAGAATGAGTGTTGGTGTTTGTGTGGAGTGCGGGATGTAAATATGGGAATGAGCGTTGGGTATTACTCTTTTTTTTCTGTTGATTTTTATCTGTCATGAATTACGTTGAAAGCTTTCGTAGATTAAAGCCAGCTATGTCATACTTTTCAGATGAAGATCAATGATAAGATCATATTGAGGAATTTTTGACTTCTAGAATTTCTCTGTTGCGAATCAAAGCCCATCTTCATGAAGAATTTGACTACAGCGACAGTTGATTCCAAGATAAATAATATGTTTGCTTTCATGATGCATAAAAGCATAATTTATGCAAATACAGTTGTTAGTTCAAATTTCCTTACTCATATCGACTTGTGCCAAGCTTTACTTTTCACTAAAATATGCATCATACAGTCTATTGCACTAATCGAATCATTTTCATTGAGAATAGTTATTTATAGCCACAACATACATTCATTTTGTATGCGATTGAATATTCAAAAGAAAAATACCTGCGTGTTTAGTTAATTATGCCGTCTTACATGCCTTTAAATAATCAAGTATTCATATATAATAATTTATTTCTTTTGAATACGAGAAACGTCGACGAAAATGTACTGTTTTTTGACGGTTATTACAGTATTTCTATTTACTACTGGTGAGTCTACTGTTTTTACTATTAAAATATTTATCATGACTCTATCTCTTTCGCTTTTGACAGCAAACTTTTCACCAACATCGCCTGTAGAAATAAATCCATCATCCGATGGACACAAATTGTATAAGGTGTTTATGAGATACCAAAATATCCAAGATGAGTTTTATTTTAATCCAAGTAGTAACTTTGTTTATGTGCCGGGTTTGAATGAGACATTTCATGTTTCAAATAATACACTATTTAAAATTACATTTCAAGGCGGATTGCGATACCAACCTCAATGGAGTGATAGATACATCCAAATTATGGTTAATGATCATTTAATTATTCTTAATCGTCTTCTACCAAACACTGATCAACGCTTAGATATGTTTGTTACGGGAGCCAGCAGAGTAGAAATCGATAGTATTGGAGGTCGTCTGAGTGCTAATAGTGGTCTGGTATTAGCTGCGCGAACAGCAATGATTTATCTTCCTGCAGGTACTTACATATTTAATGTTGGTGTGCGATCGGAATACGAATTAGGTCGTCTATTCGGTGGTATAGTAACATATGAATTATCTCAATTCGACAGTGAAAATCAAGATTTGGGTGATCTAAAACTGGCTACATTTCCATCATAAAGTAAAGCGTGTACTTTTCGATGGTTTAATCACATCGTGTATTAGGATTTTAACGATCGTTATTATGCACTCACTCACTTAAACTAATTATTAAATCAATAAAATAAAATACATACAACAGTGTTCACTAGTTCTATTCAAGAGAGGATAGGACAAAGGTGGATCAAACACCAAATTGCTCTGTCCCTTGACTCTCATCTCATCCTCAAACATGCTCATATGCACTCACTCCTACACACATTCTCATGCTCACTCATGAGCTGACTACAGTCACCCTTACATCCTCAAGTTAATCAATACATCATTGATGCTCTTAGCCATAAGAATAAAGCTTGCTTACTCTTTTCAATGGTTCAGTTTGGGAATTGCTACGTGTCATAGAATACATGAATATATTGTATTTGTGCACTTTTCTCTGTATCTGCATGCTTATTCCATTTCTCTCTTTTGTTTTCATGGATTCTACGCAAAAAAACATACAAACTGCGAACAGCCTAAGTGTACGCGATGCATTATTGTCGGTGCTGGGGTATCTGGATGTAGCAATGGGATTGTGTGAGCGCAACTAAGTCAATGAGGCTGCCGGGGAAGTAAAAACGTACTCACACATTGTAATACAAAGTTCATAAATATAATCAATGTAATATTAATGGTTGGTAGTTTGCCCCCGTTTCACATAATGAATTAAAGCAGGAACCAGTCAATTTAAAAAAAGATGCTAAATAAGGTTTTCGGAGAAAAATAACTTTGTCGAACCACCGGAGGTGGAGTATCATCTTCTGCAACCCACGCAGAATTTAATGATTTTTCGCCAATCTGTATGTGGTTGAACCAGAAGTCGTCACCCATTATCACATCACATAGCCCTCATGCACTTGATTCAAATTTTTGCTAAATTTTCTTTGCATATTCGAATTCGTTCAACCCGTTGAGAATCAGTCAGTTGCTTGGGTATATAACAAACGGTAAGTTTTTCTAAGGTTCAGATGATTGGAAATAATTCGTTGAATAGTGCCATGACTAAGATCAGTTTGTCCTTGCAGTTCTTCTACTTTAATAAAGGATCATCATTAATAATGCTGTGGACTTATTCAATATTTTCAGATGTAGTCTTGCTAATAGGTCTTCCAGGTCGTGGTTCGTCTTCAATCTCTTCTCGACCTTCACGAAACCATTTAGACCATCTTTCAACAGTCCTAAAAGGAGGAGCCTCGTCGTCGCAAACAGTATATAATTTATCACGAATAATTGTTAGTTGAGTATTAAGTGCGGTTCACTCTTTGATGTAAAATTGTAAATTTTCCTCATCCATCTGAAGCAAAGATGAACAATGTCAAATGTCACATAACTTTATTTCTTTAACTTTATTCAGAACGCGCCGATAAACTGAACACACATTAAGCTAAAGAAATACGTGTCTCTCTCTACATATATACATACATATCGATGGCTAATTCCGAGAAGAGGAGAAATATAATGAGAATAATAAGAAGATGATACATATTGAAAATAAAATATGATCTAGTACAACCATGACATATCGTACTGAAATAGGTTTTATAGAAACCTTCATATTCTGATATTAATTGAAGTATGATCAAATAGCATAGAAAGATAGAGCATTTTTTTCTCTATCAGGCTATGTAGAAAGAAAATATCTTAAAGCCTACTATACGGTATTAAAGTGTCACTGTCACTACTTTTGGTATGCCCCAAGTATAATAACTCAATCATAATTCAAAATCAATCAAAACTATGAGATCTCCTATTGAATATGTATCTAATTTTTTTTAGAATTAGTTTCTTTTATCATGAAAATAATTCTCCGCGTATTTCAATTAACCATCTCAAGCAATCGTATATTTTATATAAAAGTCATCAAAAACATGAATAGCAAGTAGCTAAAAAACTCATCAATTTAATTAAAAATGTTAATCATTCTCTAGATGTTTATACGAGTTGGGATTTTTCTATGAACTTGTATTTATACAGATGAATAAATGAATGGAATTTTGTTCTTATCTTTATTCAAGCAGTATCATGTATCAATGTTTTATTATATTGGATCTTGACCTCGTTTATAGAAGATATTTAAAGTATCGTTTCATTATGTTAAATCTATGATAATTGCAACGAATATATATAATTTAATAGTTCTCAATAACTTTGAACACTAGTTTCGTATGTCAATTTGCTAAATTTCATCGTGCACATATTACGATATAAATTCATATGAATGAATACAGTATGCAAACAAGCAATGAATATGTGCAGTTGATTCTCAACAGAAATAAAAATTAGAATTAAAAAATTTCATTGTATCGTTTTGCGCTTAATTCGCAATGACGTCCGCCTGGATTTATATTTATGTGAAATTTGGTATGTCCTCTGAAGCTTATATATTCTTGAATAACGAGTTCAAATTAATCCAATATCAGAACTCTTTTCAGTTGTTTTTTGATTTAGTTAGTTAAATTGACTGTTTTTGAGCTACTTGCAATTCATGTTTTTGATGAGTTTTATATAAAACATATGATTGCTTGAGATGGTTAATTGAAATACGCGGAGAATTATTTTCATGATAAAAGAAACTAATTGTAAAACAAATTAGATACAGGTTCAATAGGAGATCCCATATTTTTGATTGATTTTGACTTACGATTGAGTTATAATAGTTATAATTTAACAATAATTCAATGATTTTTAACATGGATCACCGACACGAAAGAGATAGTTCATTTATCTCAAACCGCTGGAAGTTAATGGGCAATATTTCAGTGAACATTTTTTGTCAAGGAAGCACATCGAAATTTACAAGATGAGAGGGTGTAGATATGGATGTTTAGATTAGTATTACTTAACGCAAACTCACACCCATACACTCACTATTATGAAAAGAAATCTCTGCTTGCTTTGGGCTTCATGATTCGATCTTGGAAGTTTTCTTCTTTGATAGAATTTCTTTCAAGTTTAGTCACCTAGGACAATGCAGAGCTGAAACTGTCTGATGAGACCCTTGGGACAGCTCGACACTTGTCGTGACTTTCCTTTCCATAATACACTCACCATCAGGCTCAGCATTACTATTAAGCCATTTGATGAAGACTGTGTGAGCAATAGTTGAAACGCCTCGTGATAGCTTCTCCTCATCCTGATTTCATTTCCAAAAAATGGAACATGTAATTCACCTACCACTGTACTTCGATATGGCAGTGTAAATTGATCCTGATCTGATTCGAATTTTATCAAGAAACTTTTGAATCAATTTTAGAATCTCGAGCCATGTGAGGAAGCCTGTGTCAGCAACAGTCGAAACACATCGTAGTAGCTTCTACTCACCCTCACATCACACTCTCACCACCAACTGTTTCATATAACATGTCAGTAAATTACTCTTTAGCGAAACGTTGTGATGGTGGTCTGTCGGTTGCAGCAAGAGGAAAATGGTTTGCTCGGAGCATTGTCAGTAAGCAGTTTGTTCGATCCTTTTCTTTCTTTATTACTATTCTTCTTATTATTATCGATCCTTCTTCCACCAAAAAGACATACAATTGAAAAAACAGATAAACAAAACAACAAAATAACAAAACAGCAAAAAAATAAAAAGAAGCATCAAAATACGTGTTTCACTCTTTCTTCTTTTCCATTCTTTACCTTCTCTTTATCTACCGGATAACATGCCGTACAAAGAAAAGGAACAATGCCACTAATACAATACGATGATACGATAGAAGAAGAGAGGAGCGTTTTTCTGTCAGAAGATGTTTCTTTTGACATAACAAAGTTCGACACACCACAAAGCAGAATGTGATTTTTTTTCTTATTTTTTCGTCGGATTTATTTCATCGAAGAGGTTGTTCTGAGCTCCCTACAAATATGGAAATTGATTAGTTGAGCTTTTTCACATCGATGAAAATGCATTAAAAATTCAAGGTTGCTTTTCTCTTCACTCGGCAAGGAGAAGTGTAGTTGCATTTGTGTACATAGAAACCATTATTGTGTTATTTAAAGTAACAACAGTTTGTTGACGGTGAGCAACTATAAAAGAGAAAAACTGTACACTGGATTCATTCGTGTTCTTGTTTCGGTTCTCGTTGTGTCTAGATGGTATATCACAAGTAAGCAGTCTACCTGAAAGTGAGGTGCATTTCACGAATTTCAGAGTCTATGCTATCTACAGATGACGGACAATCAGAAAGCCGCTGATCTCAAAAGATTTTTGTTCAATATGTTCGATGAACGAAAGAAAATGAGTTGCTTGTGATCGATAAGTTCGTTCGCAAAAACATTCTGTAACTTTTCTGCATATTCTAGTGATAGATTTCTGTAGCAGTTTGTAGGTACGTTGGAGATTTCCATTGGAATCTGTCTTCCAATCATGTCTGTATACTAACTTGCAGTAACCGTCCAACGAATTACCTTCTAGATCTCTACCATTTTCTGAACTACGATGCTAGATCTGTGAAAGCAGTCCCGTCTTGAATGGTTTCATAGAGAGAGAGTTGTAAGCCACTGCAAATAACCCTCGAGAGAGAATGTATCAGAGCGTGCTCGACGATGGTGCCTGATGCGAGTGTGGGTGGATGTGGATTAAAGCATAGAAGACCCGCATTCATCTACCCACAATCACACTCACACACTTTCATCAACATCCAAACACCCACTACGTAGGTAAAATTAGCCAAAGATTCGAGTAAAAGCAGCTAGAATTTGCCTAGGAAACTGTTCCAATTGTTTCAATTGTTCCAATAGAGTTTCAAGTGCAATTCGACGAACTCTATCTACTGATACAATCAGATTTTCTATAGCTCAAACTATCGTTGAGAAAAACCTCAAATACTGCATGTTTCTGCCGAAATTCGACTCAAAGATTCGAATAAAAGTAGCTAGAATTCGTCTAGAAGTCTGTTCCAAACGTTTCAACCAGTGTTTCAAGTACAACTCAACGAGCACTATCCAATGGTATGTTCAGACTTTTCATAACTCAAAGTATGGTTTTTGGGACCATAGATGGCGCTATGAACACCTGAAAACTGTAGTTTGAGCTATGAAAAATCTGAACATACCATTAGATAAAGCTCGTCGAGTTGTACTTGGAACACCGGTTAAAACGTTTGGAACAGACCTCTAGACGAATTCTAGCTACTTTTACTCGAATCTTTGAGTCAAATTTCAGCAGAAACATGTAGTATTTGAAGTTTTTCTCAACGATAGTTTGAGCTATGGAAAATCTGATTGTATCAGTAGATAGAGCTCGTTGAGTTGCATTTGGAACTCTTTTGGAACAATTGAAACAATTTCCTAGGCAGATCCTAGCTACTGTTACTCGAATCTTTGGTTAATTTCACCTACTTAGACCCACCCACACGCCATCCACATTCACGCTCACATCTACATCTACACCCAAAATATTTCTTGTCATGATAACTAGTCATGACGGATATGGAAGATGTTTCAGATTAGACCTGACGAACATTGCGGACTTTTCAGATTAGTTATGTCGTCCGTCTTCACTTATTTTTTGTTTACTTGTTTAGTCACGATTCATGCCATTAAGTTTTTTGTGAAGATAGTTTGTCATAAAACCGAGGTTTTCACGTAACAAGCCGCGGTTTTTAATATTGATGTGCATATACTGTTCATTAGTGTGTCTATACACTTTGCGCAGTATATATTAAAGTATGATAGAATGCATAAAGACGAGGATATAGTGCGTAGGGAAGGAAAGTTACCGTTACCAAACAGTTACGTTATCGGGTAATTGGGGACAGATCCGTTACCAGCTACCTGGTAAAGTAATGGCAACTTTCGTCCCCTAGTCGTCCGCAACTAACGTATGATGTGAGAGTGATGACACAAATGTCGATCCCTATTTCTCGTCGATGAAAGGGCGCTGAATGAAGACCTTTTTTACCACAAGACAGAGCTTTTACTCCTCTTTCGAAACGTGTATAACTTATTTTTATAACACGTTCATAAACGAAACAACGCAACAGAAAAGAGAAGTACCCTTAAAAAGAAACTGCACTTTTCTATGCAAGGACCGCATAAAATGTCGACCCTTATATCTCTTCGATAAATAGATTCTGAAAAAAATCGTGGTTTTCACCGGTTGTGAGTAACCGCGAAAGTCAGACCATTTATTCGATTTTTGAAAACCGGTAAAAACTGTGGTGTCGAGGTACTGCGGTGACTGACGGTCTCAAAAAACCGAATAAACGGTCTGATTTTTGCGGTTTCTAAGAACCACTGATAACCACACAGTTAAAGTAACTGCGATTCATTGCGGTTTTTCTTCAAAACTTTTTCTGTCGATATCGTGCGTATAAGAATAAATACACTCAACCGAGATAAACTTAATTTTGTGAATCAAGTAGAACATTCGCCAGTAATTGCAATTCGGATTGTAGTTATTTTAAGTATTAGAAACTTGTTAGATGATTGCTCGGTCCCATTCTCTCTAGCCAACCTGTGAGTTGATCTGCATTTTTAAATATTTATTCATCCAAAACAAAGTTTTTCAGTTATTTTATATATGAAACCTGAATATCCTAGTATACAAAGAATAGACATTAAATCTTCTAATGGCAGAACATTTATTGCTTTACTATTATGTGATCAGATATTGTAAATGACATTTGAGAATTTAACTACTTAGCATGTAAGATAGATGAAATTCATATTGACATTTTTCAAAAAGAAAAGGACATTTAAAGTAAAAAGACAGATAGAACAAATGAGATTAGATTTCGATTTTTGAGAGAATTAGTAGAAAATTTTTGATAGTACAAGAAGACAATATTGTTCTAAAAATGACTGTAAATCTTCTTGTAATAATTGCTTTTCAGCGGTTGATACGAAGCGTTTACAGAATGTCCAAAAATTTTGCACTCAAGAATGTTTTTCGCATAACTTCACTATTGATTAAATTTTATCAGCTGATTTTCTTTCGTATGATAAGTGACACCAGCAAGGTTTTATTTCTATAGACAACCATTGAAAGTTCTCATTAAAGTAATTACCATTAGCTGAGTTACAAAAATTTAATCTTTTTTCTGATTCCATAATAATATTTTGCAGCGTTTCTTTCTTTAACTGTTTGACTTTGGATTTGACATTATCCGATTTCTTTTTACAAGGAAACATCAAAACAAATTTATAAAAAACGACTGTTTGAGATTTGAACAATTCAATGATCAGAATTAATCTAGAATTTGATGTAATTGAAAAACAAACATTATGAAATATTATAATGGAACCAAAAAAATATTGAATTTTTGTATCTTGACTGAAGATAATTACTTTGAAGAGCACTGTAATAGTTTGTCTATAGAAATAAAAAACTTGATCTTATTATCTATCATACGAGGCAAGTCTGTTGATAAAGGTCAATCAAGAATCAAGTTATTTGAAAAAACATTTTTGTGTATGACGGCTTGTCCAAACGTAACGCTGTTACGTTTTTGACATACTCTTCTCCAACTTTCTCGAAAAGTTTAAGAGCTAGGAAGTTCGTTCAAACGTCATTCGACGCAGCTTATCGAACTTCATTTATCATATAAAAATGATCTTTTTTGATTGAAGTCTCAGGCATCTAGAAATGTTTTATCATGGCGTAACGCTGTTACATAAAAGGACCCTTTTTTCCAGTGCCACTGAGAAAACTCTAATCTCTTGCAAAATCATTTCTTCAAATGTAATGCTCCAAGAATCACTTTTGTAGAGCATTGAATAGGCTTTCAGGCAGTAAAAAAGATTTTCTCTAAAACATTTTTGTTCAAATAAAAAATGCAAAAAACAAACGTAACGCTGTTACATTTTTCGTAACGCTGTTACACCGTTTTTTGTTGACCAATTTTGAGGCACTTAATGTACTCGGAATTACTTGATTTTTATAATTGTTACTGTTTTATATGTAGACAGTCTCCTCTGCAAAAATGAGATTGATACATCGATCTGAGAGCTCATAAACTGGGCAGGAAGTTGGAAACTTTATCGAAGCTTTCAATCCGTTCTAAGCTACCAAAGTCAAAACTAAATAGACCATTTTGTAGAGAATTTAATTCTGCATCGAATGATATGTCTCTTAGCCCTTGTTGAAAAAGTTTCTTGGTTAAAAAATCCAAAATACGGTTTTTGAAAATTTTAAAATCTGATTTTTAATATCAAAATCTGATTTTTATGCTAACTCAATATCAAATTCGTAATCAGCGTAAAAAACTGCATCTGATAGTCCAATGAGATCTGTCCAACTCGAAAAAAAATTTTTTCAAAACTTGATCAGCGAAGTGTCGCGTTACGTGGACAAGCCGATGAACTCATGGGACACGCCGTATATTTGTTCATTCATCATTTAAACGAAATGTTTATTAATTGTTATCAGGTTTTTTCATCAAAAATCTGAAAATTGTTGGAAATGTTTGAGTAATCGTCAAAAACGCCTTAAAATGGTGAAAGTTTCAATTTCTCTCAGCGTTGAAAAATCTAAAACACGTTAAAAAATATTAATCTTAAACTGTTTTAACGTGTTTTTGATGGCAAATTAAACATTTTTAACAGTTTAGAAAGTGATATGTTTAAATACCGTTTTGGTCGTTAATGTATCTGCCTGATTTGTCACAAATGAACATGTTAAAGCACTTATTTAGAAAAGTAACCTTTGTGAAGAATCAAAACTAAATGAAAGGTGAGCATGCTCTTTTTTGCTTCAAATAGCCCAAATAGTCTATTTATTCATCATAAATACCAAACGGCGAGTTATAAAGAGCTTTTTTCTAACTTTCATTTGTTCAGCTTTAAATCGAAATACAAACTGCATAGGTTAGTTATATATATGGTATAAGAAAATGTTACGCTATTTAAAATAATAAAAAATAATGCTAAACCAATGACTTTACTAACTCTTAATGGATTAATTTTCCTTTATTTGATTTAATGAAGGACTTTTCTTCTTTCTTGTTTCTTACAATATTCTCATGATTATATTCTAACTTTCAGGAACTATTTGTAAGAATGACGTGACAACTATTTATACGGTTTTTTTTTGTTGTATTAATACTTCTAATTTTTTTACCAACAAATTAAAAAGAATATGAACCAGGATACTTTTGATGTTATAAAATAAGTGTTTGATACTTGTATTTATGTATGATGTCGTTCATGCTTGATTGAGCATTTGATATTTTTATGATAGATATATAAATTAATGATCATTAATTCTTTTTATTTTAAGAATTTATTTCTACTTTGTCGATTTGGAAAAATGACAGATTCTGGTGCAGATAGACATGAATTTCGTAGACGGCTTTTAAGTGATGAAGTACAGCCTTCTCCATCATATGATTTATCAAGTGGTGGGCTTGATAATAATGGCAGAACTACTATAGTTCGAAGAATTATAAGTGCGAATGAAAATTTGTTTTTTCTTTTTTGTATTCATTTTTATTTCATGACAATATGTTCTTTGGCTTTTCATATACTATAGACTGATATGGATTGGTCATATATTTATCATTAAAGTAGTGAACTATAATGGTAAATATATGACCAATCCATATTAGCCCGTAGTATATCAAAAGCCAGAGAACATATTATCATGAAATGAAGATGAATACAAAGAAGAAAAATCAAATTTTCATTCACACTTTTAATTGTTCAGACTATGACGAACTTGATCGAAATAGATATACGGTTGATAACTATGGTTTCTATGGAACTACAGCAGCTAGTGACTTGGCTGGTGGTACGGTGATTCATACACATAGTTCAGAAGAAACGAATGAATATATCCGAAGATCAACTGATGTTTATAAGGATCCTAATCCGAAAATTGTTCGACGAGCAGGAAGTGAAAGTCCAGTAACATATGAACAACGAATTGTTGTTCGATATCTTCAACCACCAACTGTTCCAGAACCAGGGGTAATGCAACAAATGTTTACAAATTCAATCTTACTAATGTTTGTATGACTTTAGCCACTCATTATTAAAGAAGTGCGTCCACCACAACCGCCACCACCTGAACCACTTGTCATACGCGAACATCCACCACGTCCTCCTTCACCACCTCCACTTATCTTCCGTGAACGACCACCAACACCACCGCCATTTGTTCCCAGTGAAACAAGTTAAAAAAAAACAAATTTAAATTACATAGATTAGATTGATCACTGTATTTTCTTTTACAGCTACTCGTTATTTACCTGAAATACCTGTTCCACCACGATCAGTTATCATCGAACGTCTTCCACCTCCTCCGGAAAAACCACGTAAAAGAATTATCTTCAGTTTTTTTTTTGTTTTTTTTTTTATTTCAGATTGTTGTTTTTTTTCATTTAGGCGACATTATAATTGAACGATGGATTCCCTATGGACCTCAATCTGAACGTCGTACAATTGTTGAATCTGCTCCTCCCGCTACAATATATCCAGAAGCACGTAATACGATTGTTATTAATGAAGCTGTTCAAGCACATATAGTCCGAAAATTTCAGAACCTTGGTGTAACCCAAGAAAACCCTGCCGATTATGTGGCTCGTTATGGGACATCACTTTTAGATCCAGCGACACTGGTTCACAGGGTTCATGATGCTGGTGTTCATGAAGATATAGTAAAATTTAAAAGAAAAAAAATTTCAAAAAAAATGTATAAATTTTTTATTATAGTCGCTTCCGGTACACTTCTCTTCAACACGTACAACTATACACAGAACTATTGTTGATATTGATCCGTTAAATGAACGGACTTCGTAGTCGTCCAATATTTCGTATATTTTCTATATCTCTGGAAATGATCCTATAAAATCCTCTTTTTAAGATATTTATTCTATATTTCCTATATGTCTTGAAAAAGTAAAGCTTCTTTTTAAATAAAATATATTTCAATCAGATAAAACACATATGCTTCTGTGTATATTGCTATTAGCTTCCACAATAAAACGAATAGCAGCTAGTGACAGCATAATATTGATTGACAGAGGTAATAATCGATGTAGAGTTATGAGTGAGAAATTATCGAAAGTTACAGAGAACTTAATTAATATTCAAAAGCGAAGTAAAGATGCATTTGAAAACAACAACAACAACAACACTAAGAACAGAAGACTATAGTTGGTTCAACGATCAGTCTTGATTGGAAAAGATTTTTTCTTTTTCTTATCATTTATTTATGTATTATATATTTAGAGCACATCAAAAGTAGTGAGAGTGACACTTTAATACAGTACAGTAGGCTTTAAAAAATATTATTTTTATCTAGTCTGATAGAGAAAAGAACGCTCTATTTTTCTATGCTATTCGATCGTACCTGAATTGATATAATAATAATAAACTTTCGATAAGATCTATTTCGCAAGGATATGTGCTGGTTATATTAGATCTTAATGGATAAGTAGATGACATGGCTATGCTTTGCATTTCAATTTTCAATAACTTAATACATTATATTAAAAGAAACAGAATATACTATAAGATGTAGCGTGAAAAACTCTACAATTTGCATAAGACTGCTTATTTAATAAGTGCACTTTTTTTTCATAAAAATGGTCAAAATTCTATGCAACCAATTTTCGATATTGCAAACAAGATCAGGTACCGCTACACGATAAATTCTTTTCCTTTTCCTTCGGTTAATGAGTCATATCGAAAACAATAATTGATGCCCGAATTCAGATGAATTGATAAGTGTTCCAATTGTGTTTCTTCATTCATTCTTATATTATTTGCTAGGAGCACAAAATAGTTACATAGTAATAAATCACAGCTGTATACTTGCTGTTAGCTAAGGAAAAGATATGAGATTCGAAGATCCTGATATTTTCTCAACGATGATTTATTTTTTATAAATACGACAATAAATTATTTGTAATATCATTATAATTTCATATGGAATATATGTCAGCATGTCAAACCATCTGTTCTTCTTTGAAAGAATCATTAATTATTGTCGAATATTATCGATGATGAATGATAAAACTGAGGCAATGAGAGATCTGAAATCCGTATCATTGAAATATGAAAATAAAATTTTTACTATTATATTATCCAGAACATTACAATAACTTAAAGCCCATGGAAAAATTTTAAAAGAAAAACCACAGTTGCCTATAGGAACACAACAGTGTCATTTTGGTAATCAAAGTATCAGATATGGCGAATATTGCTAGAATACTCCTCGAATGCATTGAATCTAATTCTGAGCACGAGTGTAGATATGATTGTGATTTAAGTATCAATGAAAGGAAAACTCACATTCATACCTACAATTTTCATATTTATCTAGTACAGAAAAGAAGAAACAAACAATGGTCAAATGATAGATATTATTCTTTTTGTAAGACAACATAGACGTCGTTCTCTCACTTAAAGAAATATGACTGTTAAATGTTATCACACAACGATTCAGCGAAATCAAATATAATACAATCATTTATTAACCAGAATGGCAAGTTGTCACACTATTCAATCAGTTTAGACAGGATAGTGCAAAAGAATCATATGTATACCGATAAGAGCCTTTTTTCACATCCGTTTTTCTTTACCACTTTGTTTCGACGGTGATTCATGGTTTGTTCTCAAGGATGCTTCAAGCAGTACCAATTGTATAGTTTTCAGAAATACTTATAATCGGACCTCGATGGAACCTTTATTTTCATTGGTGTGTAAAAACCGTCGGTATTTGAAATCTGTATATAATCACGTTCTTAAAACACAGCAGTTTCAACTGTCATTTTTCAGCTGCTAAAGTCAGACTATTTGTTTTATTTTGGAAGCCACCTAATACCATGTTCTGCAAATAACGCGATTTCGGACGATTTTTAAACACTGAATAAATGGCCTGACTTTTGTCGTGTAAATTCATCGGCGAAAACTTTTTTCATAGCAGTTAATATGTATCTGAGCTGTGAATTGCCGATTAGTAGTTACTTCTATCTGTAAGATCGATTTTCTGCTTTTCTCATTGCCTTTTTTTTTGTACTTTTCCTCGATATCTCATTATTTTTGTCTTTTATTTTAGTTTTGCAATCAATAACTACTCACGTTTTGTTTTCACAATTTTAATTATTTGAAGATTTTCAGCGACTTAATTCGTTTTTTAAATAAGAAAACGACTACCTAAACTTATTTATTTGAAGATGTATTTTATTTAGTATTTATCGAAGATTCGCACAATACAGCAATAATATATTAGTATATCTTGATCTTACACATCTATTTTTATCAAATAAGGATTAAAATGAAACTTATCGTTTTCTCTTTCTCTATGATAATTGAAAAAGAGATATGTGCTACCTATAAAAATATATAGGTAGCACAAAAAAGCAAAAGTGTATCATATTTTAATTCATTTTTTTCATTTTTCTTTTATTGTAGATAAAAATGATATTGACCTTAATAACGATCATTTTCGGTTGTTCATTAAGTTTCTTATCTTTTCAAGTTCAAGCAAATACATGCAATACTTACAATCATCCACAATATGGTACTGGTCAATGTATTGATCGAAATCTATGTCCAAATTCATTATATCTATCTGGTTTATGTGAATTACAACCATCTAATATTGTATGTTGTTTTTCAGTAGAACCAATGAAAGAAGAATTTCGAGCTATATGGATAGCTACAGTAACTAATATTGATTGGCCATCATCGAAAACAGCTACACCTGCTGAACAACAATCTGAATTACTTAATATTCTAAATAAAGTTGAAGAATTAAATATGAATGCTGTCATTTTTCAAGTATTAACAAAAAACAATGTTTTTTTCTTTCTTATCATATATATTAAGATGATTTGTAACTTTAGATTCGTCCTGCTAGTGATGCTTTTTATTCATCATCATTAGAACCATGGAGTTTCTATTTAACTGGCACACAAGGTGTTGCACCATCACCATTTTGGGATCCATTAGCATTCATTATCAATGAAGCACATAAACGAAATATTGAAGTACATGCATGGCTTAATCCATATCGTGCTCGTACGGGTGGTGCAACCTATGAATTAGCACCTACTAATATGGCTAAAAGATTTCCAGAATATGCTTATCCATATGCAAATAATATATGGATGGATCCTGGCGCAGCTGTAGTTCAACAATTCACAGTCAACGTTACTGCAGATATTGTTAGTCGTTATGCTGTTGATGGAATACATATCGATGATTATTTCTATCCATATAGTGATGGTACTGAATTTCCTGATGCTGCTACCTATGCTACTTATCAAGCACAAGGTGGCAAATTAAATAAAGCAGATTGGCGTCGTTTAAATGTCAATAATTTAATTCAATCGATGTATACAACAATGCATGCTATTCGACCAAAAGTTAAATTTGGTGTTTCACCATTTGGAATATGGAAAAGTGGTACACCAGCTGGTATAACGGGTTTATCATCATATGATAGTTTATATGCTGATAGTCGAATGTGGTTAGAACAAGGTTTAGTTGATTATATGGCACCACAACTTTATTGGGCAATTGATCCACCAGCACAATCTTATCCTGTTTTACTTAAGTGGTGGATAGAACAATCAACTAAAGGTCGTCATGTTTATGCTGGTAATGCTGCATATAAAATGGCTCAAGGTGCTGTTCAATGGCAAGCAAATGAAATAGTTCGACAAGTAAATATAACTCGATCAATGCGTGATCGACTTGCACTTGGTAATATTTATTTTTCAACGAAAGAGATCATGAGAAATGTTAAAGGCATTCAAGAAGAACTTGCAAAACTTTACAAACAAAAAGCTATCATACCTAAAATGAATTGGCTTTAATATATTAAACTTTTATTTAACAGATTATAAATAATTAAATCAAAGGGTTTTAGTGCTATATCTAATTAAACTTGCTACAAATAAAACTTTCATAATGTTACAATGTTTCATTAGCAGCTTGAATAGTTGAATCTTGTATGGATTTTAGAAGTTTAAAATAATACCAAAAATTATATAAATATTTATTTTTAAGATCATAAAAAAAAGAAATTAATTCTCACTTCTTTGTTTTTCTATTGATAAAACAAATGTATTAAATATCAATATTACGTATATCAACATGCATATAAAATAAAAGAAAAAAAAATACTTTTTTGTTGACATGACAAACTTTACTCATGATGATCATATTAACATTCAACGATACTTATTTAATAACCAAAATACATAGGATTATCAAAAGTGTGTCTTAATATTTATTTAAACGAATCAACAATATCACAAAAAATACAACAACGAATGATTACTCTTATTCGATCTCGTACGCCATCTACATTTTATTATTCTAATGGCAACCTCTATCTTCGTAATGCAAATATAAATAGACTAAAAACAACAAGCAATTTATCTATCTAATTTCTGTTATCAGAAAACGAGAAAGACATAAAGTAAAGTAATTATTTTTCTATCCTAATTTGTTTTGTTTCATAATAAATAATTACAAAAAAGTTTAAGAAGAAATTTTAATAAAATATCATGACATATAGGTTTCAGTTCATGAGGTGTTATTTTTTTTCTCTTCCTTTTTACGGTAGATTAATTAAATATTTTTTTATTTTGCACTTAATTATTTTATTAGCATTAAATATGCAACAATGGTGCGTTCAATAGATTCTCAATCAAGACAACGTAAGTATAAATATGAATATATGAATCCAAAAAAAAAAAAAGCAAAATATTTTCTTCTCTTAACTAATCTAAAAACAAAACCTACGAAATACAAGTTGAATTTCCCTTAGGTCTCTTGAATGTTGCATGTCAACTAGAAATGAAATTGTATTCTACAATTATTACCCTTTACTTAGAAATACAGCAGTAAATCATCAATAACATTCAATATTTTACGTCTATACTATTTTTATTAGGATCTTTTTATTTTATTTGTTGACTTCTCAAGCATATTCAAGTAGTTTTTTTTCTGTTCTTCACTCTACGCACGAGTTGTAACTATTTCTTTTTCAACACAAAAAATACAATCATTTATTCTTTTAACTATGATCCTCTTTATGATAAAAGAAAAAAGAAAGTAACGCTGTATTATTATCATTTTTTTTTTACTCTTTTTTAAGATTTGTTTTTATGCTATGTAGCACATATGAGATGGACCCAGCGATACGGTGTTATGGCGGTAGCCATTATTGTTATACTTGCATTTATTTTCGTTTTACATCAAAAACGTAAGTTTTAGTATACGAAAAAAAAAATTGAAGAAAAAAAAAACGTTTTTTTTTTCATCATAGAATTGTATGAAGAACAGACACGACAAACAATTGAATCATTACAAAATCGTATTGATTATGTTTCACGTCTTAATGATGAACATTTACAAGAATTATCAGTTATAAAACAACAAAATATTCGTTTAACTCGTTCAGTTAATTCAATTAAATCTTGTCATCGTCGTTTTGGTACAAATAATAATATTAATAATAATAATAATAATAATAATAATAATAATAGTAATAGTAATAGTTTATCAATAATAGATTTCAATAGTACAACTGGTGACGAAACATTAAATGATAATATAATTGATTCAATTAAAAATGTTTTTCATTTACCACCTAGTTTTAATTATTTAAAACATCTTAATAATAAACATGATATGTTATCACCATCATTTCATCGTCAAACAACAAATGGAAAATATTTACGCCAAAATATATCATTTATTATTGGTATACCAACAGTTAAACGTGATAAACAATCATATCTTATTGAAACAATTAAATCGTTAATTGATAATTTAAATAATGATGATATTGAACATTTATTAATTGTTATATTTATTGCTGAACCATTCGATATTGAATATGTACGTACAACAGCTCATCAAATAGAAAAACTTTATAATAAATATATTGAAAATGGTTTAATTGAAATAATAAGTCCACCAATTGAATTTTATCCTGATTTTGATCAATTAGCATTAAGTTTAAATGATAATAAAGAACGAGTTAAATGGCGTACAAAACAAAATTATGATTTTACTTATTTAATGATGTATTCATCAATAAGAGGAAAATATTATATACAATTAGAAGATGATGTTGTTACAAAACCTGATTATATTCATATTATTGAAAATTTTATTAATCTACAAAAAACACAAAATTGGTTTATGCTGGAATATTCAAGTTTAGGTAATTATAATTAAAGAATTTTTTTTTTCAAAAAAAAAAAAATTCTAATTATTGTTCATTCTACTGATGTCTAAATAGAAAATAGTTTATTTGAGTTTATATTTATCTTATCTTGAATTTTTTTATTAAAAATGTACTTTAAGGTATTCGAATGTTATTATTAAAAGATCAGCCACCATAGCTAAAGGACTACGTTATCCAGTGCAAATCTCAGCACTACCAGTCATAAAATGGTCCTCAGCAAGTCACTAACGACTATTTGTATCGAATTTATCCGTCCAATAGTATGCTGATTGTATTTTCACATACACTTGCTCTTGTGAATAGTTAGTGTGTATAGGAAGCATAAGAACTCTGTGTCAGGCCAACTTTCCGTTCAGATCTACAGTTAGTCATAGTTGTGAAGAAGATATCAGCCTATTGAATTTGCTTCTCGACAGCATTGTATCCTGTAAGGTAATTCAAACGCAGATGGTATTCTTCCTAAAATGTCTAGCTTTAATAGTTAATAATAGAATTAAAACAATATTAAAAACAAATCTCGTTGAAGTCTGAATTAAATCCATGTAAACAAATAGTATCTATGTAGTCATTGAAAACTGATCGACTTATTTTTCTGATGTATGTAAGACTCTAGTTAATAAATTTTTAAAGTCTTATCTAAATTTCGAATTGTATAAACAGTTAAATATGAATTAATATCTTTTATATTTTCTAAGGTTTTATTGGTAAAATGTTTCATACTAGTGATCTTGATGCACTAGTGAATTTCTTTCTAATGTTCTCTGCTGATAAGCCAATTGATTGGTTACTTGAATAGTAAGTAATAATAATAAAAGTATTCTGACATTTATTATATATATATATATATATATATACATATTCTATAAATATTTAGTTATCAAGATACAAAATATTGTTCATTTGGTGCTGATATTCAATCATGTGTACGAACAAAAGGTTTACATCGTTTTCGTTTTCGTCCATCATTATTTCAACATATTGGAATGTATTCATCATTAAAAGGCAAAATACAAAAATTAAAAGATAAAGATTTTGGTAAAAATATTAAATTATTTAAAGCTCATGAAAATCCACATGTATCATCAATTGTATCAACATTAAAAGATTATGATAAACATACATTAATGAGTTGTTATGCAGGACAAAATTTTTTTTGGGCATTACAACCTAAAAAAGGTGATACTATTGAATTTAAATATGATCCACCACTTTTATTATCGAGGTAATCACGAAACAAAGCCAAAAAAAAAACACCAAACAAATATTTTTTTGGTTTTATTTATATTTTTTTATAGAGTTTATTTTAAATCGGGTAATCCAGAACATCCAGGAGATAAATTTTTTAACACAACTATTGATTTATTACCATATGTACAACCAAAAGAAGAAATTAATTCTATTAAAGATCATGATGGTTTTTATACAGTAGCGAATTTTTCACATGAAACTGGTATTGGTGAAGCTTTTATTAATAAAGCATTTGGGCCTATATCAAATGTGCGTTTAAAAGTGCATTCAAAATCAGAAGCATGGGTTATATTGAATGAGGTAATATATAAGATTTCATTTGTAGCTTTTTATCTAGATTTGCTCTTCCGAAGGGCTAATGTATTTTTTGGAGAAGCGTCACCTCCTCAGCTTTCACACTAGAAAAAAACACAGTCTCCGAAGATCGAAATTTGTGGTTATGGTACCATGCAGATCTTGTCCCTCCGGAAATATTAAATCGTCTCTATAGAAGAAAAAATCCGAATACAATACTGTTCGTTTGATACAAATATTGCTTAGGAAAATGTCAGAACTTATTTATCTTATGTCAAGCGTAATAAATCATTTTATGAGTGTATGCAATTGAATACCTTATTGAGACTGTGTATAAATAATAAAATTGATAAAATGTATTCTTTGCATGTCATAAAATGATTATTGAGATCGTGAGGAAAAAAAGGCGATATTGCGCACTAGATAAGTAAAGCATTGTTTTGAAATGTATCAAAATTAAAATTTAATTTAAAGACATAAGTAATAAATCGAATAATATAAATTAGATCAAATCTATTAAACAAAATATTATATTTAGAATGATTACAAAAACATAATTTTAATTAAGTAACATTGAAGTAATTTTATTTGAATTAATTTTTTAATCGTTAAAATGATTTTATTATACTTTGAAATAAAAATTAAGGCTTTGTCGAATATAAAACATAGAGTTTATGATTAGAACAAAAACTTACGTAGATATATATATATGAGTAAATGCTTACATAAATAAAAATTGAATAGGAAGATATAAAATGTCGATTTGCCGCATGAGCAAATGTTATTGTTATTTTAGAATTCTTTTTTTTTTTAAATTTTATGTTTGATAAATTTCTATAATAGTTCAGTAACATGATAACATGACCATTGATATTATTCAATATAATATGCTTAACGAGGGAGAATGTAGTTAATGAAGCATGAGATGATTTATTAATATGTGTTATTCGAGAATATATGAAAAATACTAAGACAATGTAATAATATTTTATATCTTTATATTAAATTTTTACTTGTATTTTAATCGTAAACTCTCTATAAAACATACGATTTTTTCGTTGATAGAAAGATCGAAAAAAAAAAACCCAATGTTTAACACCAATGAAAAGACAATATACTCGACATTCATTTATCTTTGTTCTAATACTAAATCAAAACTATTATATAGGAAATAGGATATTTTAATTTAGAACGATAAGGTTCAATTTTTACTTTCATACTAAAAATATGACATCCAACAATTAGTAAAAGCAAGATTGTCGTTAAGTTCTAACTTAGAATTATTTATTTAATAGTAGAAACATTTTATTTAATTAAATATTTTATCCTTATATTATAGATACTTATTGAACCGGTCACATAAGAATAAATTACAAACATCTATGTCAATCATCTGTTAACCAAATGGAGTTCACATGTACATATGATAAGAAATAAATACTCATCTTAATAAATATGCAATAGAATCCACAGTTGTTTTGTTTATTCGGTGTATTTCTGATAAATTCATGTGTACTCTATATTTATGATTCCTTTTCTCTAGTCATATATATCTGTCTAATCCTTCAAATATGATTGTTCACAAATTTATTGTTGTTATTTCAGTCTCGTTATTTTTCCTTGAATTAAGAACGAGTTAATCGTCTATTTAACCAAAAGTTGTTTTATGATTTTTTTTTCTTTTCCTGTTAGCTTGTTTTTTTCTATTTTAATGTTCATACATCTATACATGGAATCAGAAATGAGATATACATATATATATATTGTTTAAATATATATAGAGGCATATTTACTGTTTGTTTGCTTGTTTTTCTTGCCAGTGGTTTTGATTAACTTTATTTCTTTTATGTTCTTTCAAGAAAACAAAAAAAAAAAAAAACTAAAGCAGCTATCAATTAATATTCTTCTTCTATATCGTTTGTTGAAATAGATTAATATATTCAGAATGGATATGCTTTTGAATAATCAAACTACCAATTATAGTGATGATCCTAATCGTTTATGGGTCGAGATTGATCGAGGTTTGTTTGAGTATATATATATATTCGAATTGGTATATTCTTTTTCTTTTTTGTTTTACTATGTTTCCTCGTTCAGGTATTCGTTCTAAAGAAGCTCAACGACAATTTGAGGCTATACTCAAAATGCCTGGTCTATTCAAAAAAGAAACAACATCAACAACACTTATTTCAGCAGCTCTTATGAAATTGGCAACACTTTTTCAAGAAGGGTACATTTTATATGAAAATAAATATCTAACAAAGCAAACTGCCATGGCCGACGAGAAAATCTCTTCCGCTGTCTCCTTCCAGTTTCAATCATTTTTTCGACATAGTATTCTGATAAAAAGTCTAAGAGGATTTTAGTTCCTATTAAGATTTGGCTAAGCTATCGAATTTTAGTCTGAAACTTTGTGCATATAGAAAATTCGGCTAGACTAGCTTTCATAAAAAAGTTCAAAACTTTTGAATTTTTTTATGGAAGTTAGTTTAGTCAAATCTGAACAGTAGCCAGTCATTGAAATCAGAAGAAAGCAGCTGAAGTGATTTCCTCGCAAGTGGCTATGCTATTCGACCCATATCCACAAGATATACTGTTAAAACTGCAGTACCATTAGTCATGAAATGGCTCTGGATGAGTCTCTAACTGTTATCTATCTCTGATTCATCCATCTGATAGCATGCTAATTACATTGTAACAGATTGACCTTCTGTTTAGAGCTACAGCTAATCATAGTTGTAAGGAAAGTATCTGACTACTGAATCTGCAGCTACACAGGAGTATTCTGCTTTTCAACAAAGCAATATTTCTTAAGTGAATCAAACAAAAATAGCTTTAGTATTATAAGAATTTCATATAGAAACCAATACTAAATAAAGATTAAATTTTATATTTTATTTAGAACAAATGAAATGCGTTTAAATGTTACAAAAGTACTTGATCGAGTGGCAAATCAATTACAAAAATCTTCTATGCTTGACGATCCTATTAAACTTATTTATTCCGTTATGCATAGTAATGATTGTATTGCTCGTGCATTAACATTAAGGTTTGTTTTCTTTTTCTTTTTTTGATCTTTTATTTACGTTTTATATGTTATGTTCAGAGCTCTTGCTATTATGGCACATATATTAGCTGATGATGTCGAAGCACATTTACATATTCGTCTTGCATTAGATTCTAATGATGAAATTGAAATTTTAGCTGCAGTAAAAGCTGCAAAAAAATTTATTCCTTGTTCAAAGTATATTGAAAAACAATACAAGTTTTTAAAAATATATATTAATTATTTTTCTTTTATCTAGAACATTTGCTATATCAATTAGTACAAAACTTGTTTCATTAATTGAAGATTTAACTACACCATTAACTATTAAATCTTGGCTTATTCCACTTTTTGAACATATGACACATGATGCAACTGTTTCTATGAAAGTATATTTTGAGATAAAAATAAAAGATTTTTTCTTTAGTTTGATTATTATTAGGGTCGTCAATTATTAATATCATTAATGACAAATGATACGACTGAAGAATTTCTTCAAATAGCTGTTCCAACATTAGCACGATTAGCTGTTAAAAGTCATATTGAAATTGGTGAAACAGTTAGTTTTTCTTCTTGTCTTTTCGAATTAGTTAATTTCAACTGTATCATAGGTAAAATTTTTTCTTAAATTTCTTAAACTTGAACCACGTCAAAATTGTCGTAAACTCATACTTCGTAATCTTGTTCCTATTGCTCGATGTGGTCCAATTGTCTGGCTTGATTCTACAACAGAAGTACGAATACAAATATCTTCTTATGATAGTATATATATATATATATATATATATATTTTTTTTTTCTTTTGTTTCATAGGATCTTATTGCATTTGCAAATAATAGTGATGATGATTATGTACGATTACAAGTTTTATGTATTATTGAAGCACTTATCAATGGTGGTGGTTATATTTCTTCCACATCTACGTCAAGTAGAAAATCGAAAAGAGAATTTTTCTCTTTTTTTTATTATACTTGAAGTTGTTTTTTTTTCTTTATGAAACAGATTTAAAAAAACTTCTTCAAATGTTTACTATACATAATAATATTCAAGTTGCTTATCAATGTTGTTCAACAACACTTCGAATAATTCTTAAATATCGTAATATATCAAATATATCTTCAGTTGGTTTGTATTTGTTTTTTGTTTTTATTTCAATTAACCTATATAATACAAAAGTCTTGATGCAAAATTTTCGCTTATTTCGATTTTTTTTTCTAGAATAGGATTAACACTTAGTTTGTGTCTTGAAATAGTTTTAACTTACTATTATACTGAATTTGATACAAAATGAGATATTACAATGAGTGAAATCTCATTTATACGTTTCTACTAAAGTTAACTCTAACCAGTTGCGTTTAAGGAGTCTATGACAATGGATGAAAAGACTGTTATTAATAGTGCTGAAAAATAAAATCGATAAAAAAAATTTATTAGCATTATGGAAAAATAACTCAGAGAAAGGTATAGAAAATAACTAACAATCTCTACAAGGACAAGAAACATGAGATATGAACATAAATAGGAAAGTTTAGTGGATTCTTCTAATTGTACATGAAGTCTTACACATGAATAAATAGTAGTCACTTCAAAAAGTTTCCCATAATCCTCTATAATTTTTCCTCATTTTGAAGCTTCTGCCTGCTACAAGTTTCACTATTCGACAATGAATATAGTTTTCGTGAATGTCAACATTTAATTACGGTTTACCAACGAGATTATCTCATTTTACAGGATAAATCTTCATTTTTCATATGTCACCCTTGTCTTCGTGTGGTGCTCTATGGGATTGAATCACATATCTGCAAATTGAGGTTTGTGGAAAATAAAATAGGAACCATACCTTCTATCAAACATGCGGCCAATTGTTGCTTTACCCTGTTTAGGTGGTCGAAAAACTTTCTTGTCATAGATTGTCTTTATTAAATGAATGTTCATTTTAGAGTCACAAAATAATGAATTATTTTCATCTGAAAATGTTCTTGATGATTTAATTGAACATCTTAATACAGCTTTAGCTGTACTTCTTACTGAAGTTATTCAATCAAATAATCTTAAAGAATTACAAGTCTGTTTAAGATATAAACAATTTTTGCATAATTTATAAAAATTCATTTTTTTTTAAAGGATACTTTAAGTTTAATTGAACAATTATCAAGAGTGTATAATAATAGTGCACAAAATTTTATACATTTACTTTTTACAACATGTGCTAATGTTGAAAGTAAGAAAAGCAAAAAAAAGACCAATCTTAAGAAATAAAATATTTATTTCTTAGATTCGGAATTATTATCATATTTAACAAAATCACTTGTTCGCTTATCAACAAATCATAAAGAAATAATTACTAGTGAAGCAATACAATTACGTAATTTATTAGCGAATACTTCATTAAATGATGATGTTCGAGTAAGAAATTATTCTTTTGATAAATTCAAAACTTAACGTTCTATTTTCTTTTTCTTTTTCTTTTATTTTTTAAGTATAATCTACTTGCTTTATTTGTTCTATCAAATCCAAATGATATCAATGAAATTCATAAACATGTGGAACAACTTTCATCATGGAAATGTTTTTTACTTGCTCGTTGGTGTATAAGACATTGTTTATATAAATTAGCTATTGATCTATTACAAATATTAATTAATTATATTCATATATCCATACATGAAATTTGGCTTCGTACATTAATTGATATATGTCATGCAGAAGAACGATTACAAACAGCAATGAATTCTTCAGAAAATGATTTACAAATATTATGTGATAATCTTGCTGAAGCTGGATCATTTTATGAATCAAGTTTAATACAAATGCCTGTAAGAATATTATTAATTTAATTTAGAAAAATTTTAAGAATAATAATTATTATTATTTTTAGACAAGATTGTCAATTGATGATAATGAACGTTCAATTGATGCAACATTTGATTTTGAACGTGCTTATTGTGATATACGTTCATCGATAATTCATCAATTTTATGAATTAATTCATACAATATATCAATATGATTTAGGAATGATTAGTTTTGATTTACTCGGAAAACGAATGGTTAGTTTAAAATTTCTTAAGTTTATTTTTTCAAAACAAAAGAAAAAAATAAGAATGATGTTTTTTATTTTCTTGCAAACTAATTTCAAATTGAAGCTAGTGAGCAGAGTCCTACATTAAGTTGGATGAATAAACTCGACAAGTTGCCTTTTGCGCAGGATTATATGAATAATTCTTCTATATTATTAGTTCACAAAGAAAATCCTTCAATCGATAAATCGATTTTGAATCGAGAGACTATGTGCATTATGTAGATTCAAATGAGTTG